GAGAGAGAGAGAGAGAGAAAGGAAAAAGGAAGGAAGGAAGGAAGAAAAGAAGGGAGGGAGGGAGGGAGAGAAAGGGAAAGAAATAGAGAAAGAAAGCAAAGCAAGAAAGAATGATAACAGCAGCAACATCAACAAAAATGGCAATAATTTCCTTTTTCTTTTCTTATTCTAAACTAGATTTGCTATAGTCAAAGGGAAGATTCTGGGCAAGAGAATGGGATGAGAGAGAGTTGCAAATTTTATCTACTTCTCTATGAGATAGGCTTGTCCACTTTCCTGGTTTCTCCTTCCCTGGATGTGATGGAGACATTGTGCCAAGCCATGCTGGATCATATGGCTGAAAACAAATCTTTACAAAGGGCAGAAAAACAAGATTAAGTAGGTTGGAGCTTCTAAACTCTTGGGGGAAACTGAACTGACATACTAGCTCAGAATTTTATATAAAGAAAAAATACATTTCTAATTTCTTTCAATGACTACTTTTTCATTTTGCTTCCACAAAAATTGAAACTCCTATCCAAACAACACGAATACCTTAGGATCAGCACTCAAGATTACTCAAAGGCTGACTGCCTCTAAAATAATGATATGAAGTGATTATTAGTTTGAATCTAATTAATCCCTCAGTTATTATGCCCAAGGAGTATAGCATGCCTTAAAAAGTGTTATGATAATGCTTCAATAATCCTGAGGTGAGTCTCTTTTTAAATTGCCTGAAACTTTTCCACCCATTTCAGGATATTTAGAAATCCAGAATGTTCACAAATACACAGACACATATAATAGTACAACTTTAACAATTTTCTATTTTCTTTCACCATATCATTCTAAGCCTTCCACATTTTACCAACTTCTAATCTCAAGTTCAGCTATAAGTCCAATTTAGCCTTGTGTGCAGATTTAGCTGTTTTCCAAAACTAAAAAGCTTTTCATATAACAGAAATGATCATCTTTACACAGATGATAGACACACCTCTCCCCACTTCTTCCTCTCCCCCTCCCTCTCTACCTCTCTTCCCCCATCCTTCTCTTCTCCCTTTTATCCCCCCTCCCTCTCACTCTTCTTCTATTTTGCCCTTGTCCATAGGTGAAAATTCTCCCAGATTTTATATATTGTCTGTGTACACACACACATATATATCACACATGTAAATATAAGTTCATATATGTACAAATGCATCCCCTTCCTTGGAATAGGTCTGTTAAGCTCTTTTGGTGCTGTTCATAGCCATGAAACTAATTTTGTCCTAAAACATTTTTTAGCAATCTCAGCACTTACATTTATCTCAGAAAATCAATTCAAAGTTATTGGGAAGCTGACAGTTTTGACTTCAAAAAACACAACTATGGTGCATAGTATCTCTACATTTTGTAGCCAACTCACCTAACTTTTATGAACTATAGTTTTTCTCACCATAAACTCTTATTGCAGGGATTTTCTTTGACATTTAAAAGCTATAATGTAGGCGAAGATCTGACATCATGAGAAGTACATAAAGCCATCACAGGAAATTTCAGTTTAATCTCAAGCACAAATTTTCATATTCTGTGTATTGGTACCACAAAGATAAAAAACACTCCTCCTTTCTTTGCCGTCATCTAACTCTTTTTAAGCAAGCATTCATTACTATCAAGTAAGTGTTTAGATTCTACGTTTAAATAAGGACACTTTGGCTAGTTACTAACAGAGCAAATAGCCCTCTCCCTATAAAGATGTAGAGAAAGCCAAAAGGCCTTCAAGAATGAATGAGGGACATTTACTTGTATTTATAAGGTTGATTTCTTTTCCCTATTGCATTTCAATTTTTTTTTTTTTCAAAATGAAGTCATCAATTCCACCAATTAAAAGTTCCCTGAAGATAGCTCAGGACTTTCACCATGGGAGTTAGGAATGACTTAAGCTATCTCTTCTGTCTTCTCCAACTCCCTTGGTAATGAACTTAACTTATTGCTTGCTCTGCATTACTGAACACTGTTGTACCTCACTATCTCAAATACTCAACAGCAAGGGCTACATTCAAAAACAAAACAAAGACAAATGTTACCCATTTCACTTGGTCCCCAGTATAACCTGAGCATTTCCCACCATGTAGTATCATTGGAGAGAGGCAACATTCATTTCAAATCAACAGTTGTGGGATATTTTAGCTTTCTCTTTTCTTATTTCATGTTTTTTTTTTTTTCTTTAAGAAAAATCCAAAAGAAAATGAATGCAATAGAAGAAATATAAAATACAAAGCAATAAAGATAATATCTTTAATTCCTTATTTCCCTAGGCCAGTATCTACCTTGTATAGATAGTTATGAAATTTCTTAGTGGTAAGGTGTTTTTAATATATCTGATTAATAAAGTAATTAATTTTCATTAATAATATATTCAGCATTTTTTAAGACTAATGTTATTGGAAACATCAAAAATCTGAGATAAATATTTTAAAGCCTTCTATATTGAAGGACTTGAGTCTTATTGAAGATAATCAATTTTTTCAAAATTTGAAAAAGATATTAAGTGAACTGGCTGAGAAAAGAAAACAGATATGACTACAAATCTATCTTTAATCAGTAAGTTGTCTTTTCTTGTTGTTAATTTATCAGGTTTTATGATTAAATATTCACCAAAATAAATAAGAAATGCTTATGCTTTCCAGGCACATGGAACCAATGTATGATACATTCATCATAGCATATAGCAGGAGAGAGAAACAAGAAAACCAAAATGGTTTTTGTTCCACTGAGTAATTCTGTTCTTGTAGTCTATTCCATTAATTTCAAGCAAGTCTCTTCATCTTTAAAATATGAGTGTCTACTATAGTTGATCCTAGGTTGTTTCTAATTCAAAACAAAACCCATATCTAGTGACTGTATGCAGGAGATTGGGAGATAACAACATGTGGTTTTTACCCTGAGAGCTTAGTGAAACTCTACTCAGGGATAGCAGAGAGCTAGAAATCTTGGATAAGAATAAAAAATGGCCTGGGAAGGAGATTTACCTCAGTTGTGTCCTTTCCTGGGAGAATTATCCTGAAAGTCTTAATGAGATTTTTTTTTCCTTATGTACATCCAAAACATTTTAGAAAATACTTCAACTGTTTCTTTTACCCTAGTTTCACAAGTCAGAAAACCAATGTGGAGATTCTGCCGGCTGTTAAGAATATCTGTTCTAATTCTGCATTACAAAGTTGGGGGCATGATGGGTTCACCCTAAGATGGATATAAACTGAATCTCCACTGGTCACCTGCCTTCCATAAGCTCTAAACTAGAGGACTATGGTGATATCTGGGTCTCCTGGAATTAGGGTTAGTTGAGATCCAGTACCCAAATCCTCCCTCTCAAATTTCATCATTTCCTTTTTCCAATACATGGTAACCCAGTAAAAGGATCTTAGCTCTCTGTGGAGACCTCCACTTCATTCAAAGGGTTTGTGTCAGTGAACTGATTTAACTCTGGAAACTGATTAAAGGGAAGAGAATCATTTTTTTTTTTTAAGATTCAAGTTAATCCTTTATTCACCAGACCTAAAAGTTTTCTGCCCTCACAAATTAAGTAAGAATTTGTGACTCTCTTGTGTTTCTTTTCTAAACAGCCAACACCATTGGTCTGAATAGTTCAGAGCATTATGATTTCCGCTTTGGCTGTTTCCCATTACAGTCACCACACCCAGGCTGCCTTCGGATATTGCCTGCTGTCACTTTGCCCCTTGCCACATCCTATTGCTTTGCTATTATTACACTGATGTTTTCTAATTAAATGACTTTTTTTTCTCACTCTAAGGAGATCAACCATGGAAAACTTAAAGGATGCTGGGACTCCACTCACGAGTTTACATCTCAAAGCATTGGTGAGGAATTTGTATTTTGAACTCTCCCAGTATCAATAAGCAGGTCATAAATAGCAACTCCATTCTAGCATCCCAATCTCACTAAGC